TCTTAAAGGATATTGAGTTAGGACTCGGGCGGGCCAACCATCAAGCTTATCTTTTTTGGGCCGGGTAATAGGACCCTTGTGTAACCCGGGCCACGGACACCCCTACTTGCAAAGTTGAACGCTGCATTAAGTGAAAAAACACTCTAGAAGCTAAGCTAACTTCAAGGGAGTTGAAAAAATGAATATTTTATATTATAAAGCAATACACATCAATCATCCAAAAAAAAAAGAAGAAAAGCCAAAAAAATCAATTATTGTCAAAAGCAGTGATGAAAAACTAGAGGATAAAACTAAATAAGAAAATGAAGAATCTGAAAAAAGCGAGAAGCTACAAGTCCTATATAGTGATTACAAAGCACATCAAGAAGAGATAAGCATTGATAAGGAGAATACACATGCCCGTGAACCAGAACAAGAACAAGATGAAAAATTATACCTCATTGAAGCAATGCTAGTGTGCAGGGAGAGGTCCATGAAAAATTCGACCATGGATGTGACAATGAACAAGTCCAAGATGAAAATGAAAAATGATATGACAGTGAACAAAACCTGGACAAAGTAGAAGATTCTAACCATTTTATCATACTAATCTCAAATTGGATTGAAACAAGTATCAAAAATGAAACACAACAATCAACTCCAACAGAATTGCAGGATACTTCCAAACTTGTAATACACCTCATATTACATCTCCGAAGGTTTCTTGACCTTCTGGATTTAATAGTAACCTTATTTTGACTTAAAAATATTTAGAAACTTACCTATCTATCCTTCTCAAGATTAAACGCATCCAAAATTAAATTTGACACGAAAGTCAATGCTCGAAACTCAAATTTCATTATCAATCTTTCAACAATGCTTCAAAATTTCTGTCATTATTTTATTTATCTTAGGATAATTCTTAAGATGATATCATCCTTATTCCATTATAGTGTGGGGTCTTACAATCCATCCCCCTAAAAGGAAGTTTCATCCTCAAAACTTAATTGATGATTTAATCTATCTAATTTCAATTGGCCACAAGGTCTCAATGCCTATTCATCCTTTAAACATCAAATTCAAGATTAGGATCAATTTCCCACATTTTGAATTTTAATCCATCCTTTCAACTTGTATCATCATTGAAAGATTATCTTTATTCACTAACATTCATTTATTACTAATTGTCTACTCATCAAATACCACTTCTCTTTTGAATTTATCAATCCTTTCATTAATCCTCACGATTGTTTATTATGTGCAACTTAACCATATGCATATCAAAACAACTCAAATCTAATTCCGCTAATAGAATTACTCATCTTTTCTATATTGAAATCACGATATAATATAAAGTTTAGTAATGACATTATAGTATGATTTGCCTCAATTCCTAAAATAGATACAACTAATAGTGGTAATTCTTGCCCACAACCCACCAACCCGCACAATCCATCCATAAATTAATGGGTTGGGTACCTGTTTTTATTACTATTGGTTAAAAATGGGTTGGGTACTATTATTTATTTTAAATTTATGAGTTAAATAGAGTTTAAAATAGATACCCATTGGGTTTTCCTTCTTAAAAACTAATGAATCTAAATACACACACCAACCCCACCTTTCCAGCCGTTGGACTCCCATGTAGCCTCTTGACGTTAAAAGTCAAATCCTCCATTACACACTGCTAGTCTAACCTCTATTGCTACTCTGACTGGAATTCGGCTATTGAATCTCGCATATCCTCATCATTCAAGCTTGCAAAGTGAGTCCCCTTTGATTTTATTTATTGAAATTTTCCAAAACATTGTCTNATTCATACTAGAGGATCTAAATAGTCCAAATAAAGTTATAAGTTCCATGACACATCAAATGAAGGGGAAATTTGACAAGTATTGGGATTGTTATAATATAGTGCTTTCCTTTGTCATAGTGCTTGATCCCCGTTATAAGTTAAAGTTTGTTGAATTTGCATTTGCAAAGCTTGATCCTGAAACATGTGAAGAAAAGATAAGGAATGTTCGGATGCAGTTGCATTTGTAAAGCTTGATCTTGAAACATGTGAAGAAAAGATAAGGAATGTTCGGATGAAGTTGCATTCACTCTTTCAAGAGTACAAGTGTTTCTCCCCGTCCGCTTTTGCAACTAATCCATCGACAATGAGAAATGCTTCTAGTGGAGTAGATNTAAAACATGCGAAGAAAAGATAAGGAATGTTCGGATGCAGTTGCATTTGCAAAGCTTGATCTTGAAACATGTGAAGAAAAGATAAGGAATGTTCGAATGAAGTTGCATTCACTCTTTCAAGAGTACAAGTGTTTCTCCCCGTCCGCTTTTGCAACTAATCCATCGACAATGAGAAATGCTTCTAGTGGAGTAGATGAAGATGAAATGGATGTAAGTAACATCACTAATTGTCTTATTTATACTTTCATAGATTTATTAGTAATTTTCTTATATATTGTGTTTATATTAATGTAGGAGTTTGAGTTATTTGAGAGAGAACATTCTAGATTGAATAGAAATAAATCACAGTTGGATCTATACTTAGAAGAATCTTTACTTGATCGGAGATAAAATGCACAGTTGGATGTTCTAAGTTTTTGAAAAGTAAATAGGACCTGATATCCAGAGCTTTCATTAATGGCCCATGATGTGTTGAGCATTCCCATTACTACATTTACCTCAGAATCAGCTTTTAGTATTGGAGGTCGTATCATTGAAAAATATCGTAGTTCAATTTTGCCGAAGAATGTAGAGGCATTATTATGCACTTGAGATTGGTTACATGATTTAGAAGGTAAAAGTAACTCTTGCAATTTCATGCTAATATTATAATTAATTGTTTTNATTTCACCATTACTTTGGATAATGCAAAGTATAAAGATGGTTTGATTGATTTGTTGAAAAATCATCTTTCTTTAACAAATGTTTTGATATGTGATGTTGAATTTCTTCATGTACGTTGTGGTGCACATATCTTGAATCTTATTGTTCAAGCAAGCTTAAAAATGATTGATGGATCTGTGTATAAGATTCGAGAAAGTTTCAAATATGTTAGGGGTACAATGGGAAGGATGATTAAGTTTTCAGAATGCATTGCACAATTGTCCATAAAAAGTGGTAAGAAAGTATGTCAAGATGTGCCAATAAGATGGAATTCAACCTATCTTATACTTGAATATGCTTTATTATATTGTTGGGTGTTTTGCCAGTTGCAATTGATTGATACTAACATCAAAACTTGTCCATCACGAGCGGAATGGAATATGGTTGAAAGGATAGCAAAGTTTCTCAAACTTTTTTATGTCATTACAACATTGTTTTCAGGAAGTCAATATCCCACTTCAAATTTGTATTTTCGTAGCGTATGAAAAATTCAAACATTCATACTAGAGGATCTAAATAGTCCAAATAAAGTTATAAGTTCCATGACACATCAAATGAAGGGGAAATTTGACAAGTATTGGGATTGTTATAATATAGTGCTTTCCTTTGTCATAGTGCTTGATCCCCGTTATAAGTTAAAGTTTGTTGAATTTGCATTTGCAAAGCTTGATCCTNTGATTATGGTGAGAAAGTTATGTTACTAGAAAACGAGATAGAAAGTCTTGCTCTATAGTTTGAGATATTTTTGAGAAATTACCTGTTAATAGTGAAGGGAGACAAAAGACTAGATGTATAAAATGTGACCAATTGTATGTGGCAAACTTCAAGTCTGAAACATCAAATTTGAAGTGACATCTCAAAACTTGTTGTCCTGAACATGACACAAATGAGTTGGCGCCACAACTACCTTTTGATCAAGATGCCTATCGCAAGAAGCTTTCTAATATCATAATCAAGCATAATTACCCCTTTAACTTTGTGAAACATGAAGGAATCAGAGAGTTACATAATTTTTTGAATCCACATGTGAAATCAATCTCAAGAAACATCACAAAGTTGGACATTTTGAAAGCTTATAAAAGGGAGAAAGAACAACTTAAACATGCATTGGAATTAATCCCAAGTAGGATTTGTTTGACTTCAGACTTATGGACTTTTATCACCATAGATGATTATATGATTTTGACTGCTCACTATGTGCATGAACATTAGGTACTATAGAAAAAGATATTAATCTTTTGTCATATACCCCCTCCTCATAATGGACCATTTTTAGCAGAAAAAATGATTACTTTTCTGAAAGAATGGAGAATTGAGAAAAAAAATTTCACCATTACTTTGGATAATGCAAAGTATAAAGATGGTTTGATTGATTTGTTGAAAAATCATCTTTCTTTAACAAATGTTTTGATATGTGATGTTGAATTTCTTCATGTACGTTGTGGTGCACATATCTTGAATCTTATTGTTCAAGCAAGCTTAAAAATGATTGATGGATCTGTGTATAAGATTCGAGAAAGTTTCAAATATGTTAGGGGTACAATGGGAAGGATGATTAAGTTTTCAGAATGCATTGCACAATTGTCCATAAAAAGTGGTAAGAAAGTATGTCAAGATGTGCCAATAAGATGGAATTCAACCTATCTTATACTTGAATATGCTTTATTATATTGTTGGGTGTTTTGCCAGTTGCAATTGATTGATACTAACATCAAAACTTGTCCATCACGAGCGGAATGGAATATGGTTGAAAGGATAGCAAAGTTTCTCAAACTTTTTTATGTCATTACAACATTGTTTTCAGGAAGTCAATATCCCACTTCAAATTTGTATTTTCGTAGCGTATGAAAAATTCAAACATTCATACTAGAGGATCTAAATAGTCCAAATAAAGTTATAAGTTCCATGACACATCAAATGAAGGGGAAATTTGACAAGTATTGGGATTGTTATAATATAGTGCTTTCCTTTGTCATAGTGCTTGATCCCCGTTATAAGTTAAAGTTTGTTGAATTTGCATTTGCAAAGCTTGATCCTGAAACATGTGAAGAAAAGATAAGGAATGTTCGGATGCAGTTGCATTTGTAAAGCTTGATCTTGAAACATGTGAAGAAAAGATAAGGAATGTTCGGATGAAGTTGCATTCACTCTTTCAAGAGTACAAGTGTTTCTCCCCGTCCGCTTTTGCAACTAATCCATCGACAATGAGAAATGCTTCTAGTGGAGTAGATGAAGATGAAATGGATGTAAGTAACATCACTAATTGTCTTATTTATACTTTCATAGATTTATTAGTAATTTTCTTATATATTGTGTTTATATTAATGTAGGAGTTTGAGTTATTTGAGAGAGAACATTCTAGATTGAATAGAAATAAATCACAGTTGGATCTATACTTAGAAGAATCTTTACTTGATCGGAGATAAAATGCACAGTTGGATGTTCTAAGTTTTTGAAAAGTAAATAGGACCTGATATCCAGAGCTTTCATTAATGGCCCATGATGTGTTGAGCATTCCCATTACTACATTTACCTCAGAATCAACTTTTAGTATTGGAGGTCGTATCATTGAAAAATATCGTAGTTCAATTTTGCCGAAGAATGTAGAGGCATTATTATGCACTTGAGATTGGTTACATGATTTAGAAGGTAAAAGTAACTCTTGCAATTTCATGCTAATATTATAATTAATTGTTTTAAGATTTACAGCATTAGAATTTAATGTTATGCACTTGGTTTAAGCAGTTCAAGAAGATTCAGATGAGGAGGAGGAACTTGCGATTGACATTGAGAAATTAATTTATGTATTTGGTGGCTCTTCAAATGATGTGGAATGAATCTTAGGAAGTTGGTGTGGAGTCTAATAATGATGCTAAATATGGAGACGTAAGGTTTTTTTGTGATTATTGTGAATTTGGTTCAACTTTTCGTTTAGTTTTTGCTTTTGGGACTTATAGTATATTCAATTTTTTTTTTGTTTTGGTTTAGGATGTAGAAGATTCGTCAACGAAGGAAGTGAAGTTTGACCCAATATTTGACAATGAATAGCATGGCTTATAGTAGATTTCGTAATGTTCTTTTTTAAACTTGTCCTCATGTTTGGTTGAGCATGTGTTTCATTTGCTTGACTCAACCTGTGAGTATTAAATGATAAAGAGACGTGGTGCTATGGTTATGTGTATTTTTTTTGAATTATTTCTTATTATGATGAATGATTGCTGTGAATTATTAATATGAAATATGCTATGTGATGGAACAGTAATTGTGTTTGTGTTTTTATTTTGTCAATGTGTAAGTGTTTGTATGTCGCATTGTATCAAGATTGTGTGTTTGCGAGTGGCACTATGTGTATATTTTTTTGTTGATTAATGTGTGTTTATTTTGGTGCAAGAGTGTGCGTGTGTATTTTGGTGTAATAGTATGTGTGTATATATTTTGGTGTAATAGTATGTATGTGTGTGTATACATATATTTTGGTGTGGTAATGTGTGTATTTTGGTGTAATATTGTGTGTGTGTATTTTGGTATAGTAGTGTGTGTGTATTTTGGTGTAATAGTGTATGTGTATGTATGTATTTTGATGTAGTAATGTGTGTGTTTATTTTGGTGTAATTGTTTGTGTGTGTGTGTGTGTAATTTATGGGCTAATAGTTTTAACCCAACCCATTATCTCCCATTTATTGATTTGATTTATTTTAAACCCAATCCACCTATTTGCCACCTCTAGATACAACTTTGNTAATTTATGGGCTAATAGTTTTAACTCAACCCATTATCACCCATTTATTACGTGAGTGAAAAATAGATTTGATTTATTTTAAACCCAATCCACCTATTTGCCACCTCTAGATACAACTTTGTTAATGACTTTATCTCTCACTAGTCTAGAAAAACTTACAATATTTGACATTAATCAATATTCTAGGATCAGCTCTTAGATTGCACACCTATGCACAATTTTGCATTATACTCTAGTTCATATTTTCTCACATTGCATCTCGCCGTTACGGTTGTTCTGGATACCAGACACTATTGTACTATTCTATCCTATGGACAATCATAAGTCTTGGTTATTCGATAGACACCACAAAAGGTTCCCNCAGTTGTTCAGGATACCAGACACTATTGTACTATTATATCCTATGGACAATCATAAGTCTTGGTTATTCGATAGACACCACAAAAGGTTCCCAACAGTTATAATCATCCAACTACACACCTAGTTATCCAAGAGATTGATTCTTATTTTTCAAGTTGATACTATTTTCATTCACCATTGTAACCATAACTAACAGTTAATCCCAATAATAGTAATTCCAACCAACACATTCGATGCGCACTATGACATCAATTATAGTTGGGAAAATTAACTCTTCAATTCAATACTATTAAGACTAAAATAGTTAAGAATTATCCAAAGGTTTGAAAGATCTAGTAAAGATATATCGGATTTCCCCCAAATATACAAATGGAACCTAACTATAAATGTTCTCTAATTATATCTTTCAAATCGTCTACACTAATGATCCTTCTTTAACCTCCAAAAGGTAGACTTTAGCAATTAAACAAATATAACACTTGAGCTAAGGTATAGTTATATCTTCAAAATATTTGTTTTCAGTCCTCAATTTTGAGCTCAAATTAAGAAGTCATACAATCCCTTTCATTATCCACTCACATTCTAACTCCTACTTTTAGATCAATCATAACATCTCGATATTTTTCGCCAACTCAATTAACATTAATTCTTTTCTGTATCTCCCAAGTATTCGTTATCAATCTCTAATATTGAGTTAGAATCAATAAACCTTTTAATCAATCTTTAGTGGCTTTCATTAACTTATCTATTATGTTCATGATATATATAATATTCAATTTCCCTAATTCAATTCGATACAAATACAATTATTTTAATATACTCAAAATTAAAGATAGATTGTCAAGGATCCCAATACTCTCTCTATTCAATACCATCAAATTTCTTGTAATATAATCATAGTCAAACACAAGATTTTCAATAATTCAACCAATACTCCTCAATTTAACTATATCAGTCGTCATAGCCTTAACAATTATTCATGACCCCCTTGAAAATATAATGATCCACTAGTTACTAGGTTAACCTTAGTCTTTTATACCAAAATTTACTTCATAGTTTCAACACTTATATCAAAATTTACTTTTTCATTCAAAACTCCCACTTGTTCTTCTTAGCATCTCTTCTTATTAATTCCTTAGACATTAGTTGTGCAAAAGATGTAGGATCATGAGCTTTTATGAATTTTTTTTTGAAAAAAAAACATAATCAACACACAATTACTTATTCATCCAATATCTAAATACACCCAATGAAAAATTAAAAAACAAATATGCTCATAACCTACTACTACTCTCCAAAATATCTAATCTTCAAGAGATAGAGACACGTATTCTTAGAGTAACTCCAACATTCTTTCTATTTCTTTTTAGCTATTTTACCTAATCAAACACTAAGAAAACTCTTCAACACACATTCTATTGTTTATTTTATCTAAATGACTCTCTAAATTTGGAGAGCCATTCAACCTTTTCAAATTTTTTCTCTATCTGTATGTTTCAATTCCTGTTAAATTATTAGAAGTTAGTGAAATTTAGATAAAATATTTAATTAAAATAGAAAGTATAATTGAAATTAACTTGTAAAATAATTCTCTAAAAAAGTATAATATTTAAATAGTTAAAATTGAGAATTGAGTTGTTTGGATATTACTCCCTCCGTTCCTATATATCTGTCGTTTTACATAATTTTTTTTGTTTTATAATATTTGTCGTNTGGATATTACTCCCTCCGTTTCTATATATCTGTCGTTTTACATAATTTTTTTTGTTTTATAATATTTGTCGTTTTATGAAATCAAAGCATAATTAATATTTTTTCTTTCAAATTTATCTTTAACCTTTTAATACATTAGATTAGGTAGAGACTAAGTGTCTTTTATATTATTTTTCTTTATAATACATATAAGGATATTTTAGTTTTGTATAATTATTTTTTATTCATATTTTAACTATTTAATAATTTCTTTAATTTCTATATAAAAATCTTAAACGACATGCGTAGGTAGGGACGGAGGATTATTTGTGCGACAGTGCGCCCAAATTGAAGAGGAGCTTCGAGANATGTATTCTTAGAGTAACTCCAACATTCTTTCTATTTCTTTTTAGCTATTTTACCTAATCAAACACTAAGAAAACTCTTCAACACACTTTCTATTGTTTATTTTATCTAAATGACTCTCTAAATTTGGAGAGCCATTCAACCTTTTCAAATTTTTTCTCTATCTATATGTTTCAATTCCTGTTAAATTATTAGAAGTTAGTGAAATTTAGATAAAATATTTAATTAAAATAGAAAGTATAATTGAAATTAACTTGTAAAATAATTCTCTAAAAAAGTATAATATTTAAATAGTTAAAATTGAGAATTGAGTTGTTTGGATATTACTCCCTCCGTTCCTATATATCTGTCGTTTTACATAATTTTTTTTGTTTTATAATATTTGTCGTTTTATGAAATCAAAGCATAATTAGTATTTTTTCTTTCAAATTTATCTTTAACCTTTTAATACATTAGATTAGGTAGGGACTAAGTGTCTTTTATATTATTTTTCTTTATAATACATATAAAGATATTTTAGTTTTGTATAATTATTTTTTATTTATATTTGAACTATTTAATAATTTCTTTAATTTCTATATAAAAATCTTAAACGACATACGTAGGTAGGGACGGAGGATTATTTGTGCGACAGTGCGCCCAAATTGAAGAGGAGCTTCGAGAGTTTCCGATCACATCACGAGACGACAGCTATCCACAACGGTGCTTTACTTAGAACGAAGAGCAATAAAAAGCCATAAAGAAAGCTTTTACCAGATCTGTCATGGAGATTTGTTCATCATCGTTCTAGACTTTGTTCCTCCACGTCTCAAATTTAAATCATACTCTAGCAATATCAGACTACGTTCTGTTTATCAGACAGAACTTGCCAGCTACTATAGTTTATCATCACTCGCAACAAACTGTGCCACAGTTCACTCTGCACATATTCTCTCTCTCTCTCTCTTTCTTTGTATCTATACCTGTATGTATAGGTAGTGTGATGGATTCTCTGCGTGTGTTGCACTTCTACACCAGCACTACGACTAGTACATATGCGCAAACCCATTTCACAAGGAAAGCCAAATTCCTTAACTATCATCACCATAATCATCATCAACAAGAAAGAAGGCACAAAGCTGGGCAAAGCTTCGCTCTCTTGAGGCCCAGAATTTCTTTGTCTTGTCGTAATTTGGGTTGTAAGGATAGACCCACGAAGGTTTTTGGAATTGTCTGTGGTGCTTCGTCTGTTGAAACCAGGTACTTCTTTACGCTCCTTAACCGCTTTATGATTGCTATGTCTTTTCGTTAGAGAGGTGAATAAATGAAATGTGAAATTCGGTTTTGCTGCTTTGAACTTTTTGTATTTTTGATATTCTTTAAGGGATTCAAGAACGAAAATCCTATATTTGTAGAAAAATTATTTATTTATTTTGCTAGGATTGAAGATGTAGCCTTCCTACGGGATAGAGTTTGGATATGTTCTCTGTTTGATTGCTAAGAAAGTGTATATAAAGATGTAGAAACACAAAAGTCTTCCGTCTTTGGGACCTTACAATGGAAGCATTCAACTATGTTTTGCCCATCAACAAGAAGACAAGGGGAAAAAACTTTTTTGTACAGTATTGTGGTATTCTAGTTATCTTTTTTCAAGCTCTTTAGTGCCAGAACAATACAGAACAACATTTGTTGTTATGTTGTATCTTCCTTTTTTTTTTTTCTCTTTTTCTCTTACTAATGAAAAGTGATTATTATCAACTCTGTTATCTCTGTATTGGAATTAAGTCTTTTCCCTGGAATTCTGTTATCTTTTATTCTTTAACAAGTGATAGGATTAGAGTATAACAAAATGGTGTTATGGCAGAGAAGAAGAGAAGAAGGGGATGAAAAAGACGAAGTTGAGGCCAGGGCAAGAGAAGGTGCGGCTAAGAGTTAAAGTGGATCACCAAGTTCAATTTGGGGAGCACATTGCAATTTTGGGGTCAGCAAAAGAATTGGGATCATGGAAGAAGAGAAAGCAGATGAACTGGACAGAGAATGGTTGGGTTTGTGAACTAGAACTAGAAGGGGGTGAGATTGTTGAGTACAAATTCCTGATTTTGGGAAAGGACAAGAGTATGGTTTGGGAAAGTGGTAATAACCGGAAATTGGAGCTCCCAAAGAAAGGGATTTTCGAGATGGTTTGTCGCTGGAACAGGACCGATGAGAATGTAGATTTGTTGCACTTGGATAAGGAAGAGAATCAGCAGGATATGGAGGATGTAGGAGATAATGGGTCTGCAGTTGCAAATGGTGCTACTCATTTGGAGGATGTGATGAGTCCTTTGGTGGAACAATGGCAAGGTAAGTCCATATCATTCATGCAATCAAATGAGCATCGGAATAGAGAAGCAGACAGGAAGTGGGACACATCGGGGCTTGAAGGGCTTGCTTTGAAGTTAGTGGAAGGTGACCAGAATGCCCGAAATTGGTGGCGAAAGGTACCATTGTTGACTATATTCTCTCCCTTTTTCTTTCTCTAGATATAGAGGACGTTCTGATTTAGTTTACATTTAATATGAAGGGGAATTGTTGAGATACTAAAGAGGTAGTAATTCATAAGCCCACGTTATATTTCATGTTAATCATATTACATTCTTTGTTTCATTTGGTAGTTTTTGAAGTCCATCTTGGTATAAATGCGAGTCTTCGTTTTGATTTCTATGTATATATTAATAAATACATTTTCAAGATGAAGTTGTTGTAATTTATTTGTTCTCTCTTATTTATTGCAAAAGATAATGCATCTCCACAGAGATTTAGCACAAAATATTAACTATTAGGATTGCATTTTGTCAAAAACTATGAAGAGCTGACCACAGGTCTTGTTGGTATAGACTTGGGACTAGGAAACAGGGTTCTTGTGGCAGACTTAAGATTGTTAGGGGGTTTTGAACTATACTCAATGAACAGGAAAAATAGGTTTTAGTGTTCTAAAAAGGAGTGGGGTTGAAGTTTTGTTCGTGAGATATTAGGGGAGTGTTTAATTAGGTTTGTTTACCTTTAATTAGTTGAGAATGGGCAAAAAAGGAAAAAAAGCTAGGATGCATCACACCTTATCAATCCTTTAGGCACAAGATCTAAGGTTAGGGTTGCATCACACAAACCCCAAAGATGCCACAAAAGCTCTGAGATTTTCTCTTAAACTACTCATTTGATTCTGCAAGATAGTGTACTAGGTTTCTAGTGGCCTTAAGATGAAAATGTGATTCATAGGACTATAAGAATGGATTGGTTTGGATATTGCTAATCTTTAAGTTTATATATTGATGATTTATGTGGTTAGGCAAACATGAATTGTTAAATTTTGTTTTGAAACTCAAGAGTTTTCTTTAATCTTGTGTGGAGTTTAAGTTGAAATATTTATCGTTTTGTAACTACACACATACGTGCATTTCACTATACACGATATAATAATTTTTAAAAAGGTATGCACTACGATACATGTTTTGACAATCTTGTTTATATAGTAATTGTAGAGATGAGCGGTACTATGGTACATTGTTTTATTATGTTTAATACATGTACATGAGTGTAGAGATGAGTATAGTAACTTAGATTAAAATGGTATTCTATATGCACTCTTTCCTTTACCTATTATCTCTCGTTCTTCTTCTAGCCTAAATATGTTTATCCAAATTTGGTAAATTTCGGGTTTGTTTCAGTGGTTTTGACTTAGTTTAACCAAATTTGTCCAATTTATGTCAACAAAGGTGAATCTAACTAGTCTTACCTGGTTCAGATCCGGTTTGATCTTATTTTTTTAGATGGATGTGGTCTAATTCAGGTATTTTCAGTTTTAGTTTATCCTTTTCCATCTTTGTCTTATGAATCTTGTTAGTTTACTAAGCACGATTATGTATCTTTTAAGTCTAAGGTTAAGAATTCTGTCACTAGTCCTTTTTTTGCTTATTCATTCTAATGCACAATTCTATCTACGGGCATTGTTATTTTGTTAGACTTGTGGATGATTATTCTCGTATCACTTCTATGTTTTTAATGAAGGCTCATTTCGAGTTATTTTCTATATGTTAGACGGTTCGTATAAAGATTAATCGAAATTGGCCAACGTTTCATATCACAATTTACTTTCTAATGAAAGCTCGTTTTGAATTATGATCTATTGTTTGGATGTTTCATACAGAGATTAAAACTTAATCTGGTTCTCGTGTTCGTATTTTGTGTTCTTATAACGCCAAAGAATATGATTTTCCTCCTTTTAATTCTTGTTTTTGTTAAACGACACATCTTATGGTCATCCACCACAACAAAATAATGTTGCCAAACGTAACAATCGACATTGACTAGAAGTAACTATAGCTCTGTCATGTCCATACGTGTTCCCTAACATTTTTTGGAGTGATATTATTCCTTTCGCACACTTTAATTGTATTCTTTAAACTTACATTATACATCTCCTTACTCAATTTTTGTCACCTACTTTTTTCTTTCCTATTCGTCAGTGATCTTGGCTTTGATAAATTTGATCCTCGTGATAATAATTCACTTGCATTGATTTACATTTTGTGAACGTCTACCGTACTCTTATATTGTCCATTCTGGTCTTGACCTTGAGTTTGAGCCATCTACTTATTTTGCTCTGCCCCACTCCCAAAAGCTTTCAGTATAACCATGTGTTTTTTTCTCTTAGTGTTAGGCGTAAAGCGAACCAAAGTGACTAAGGCTCTTAAAACAAAGGCGAGAAGCGAGAAGCAAAGCGCTTCATTGAAGCTAAGTGAACAATAAAAAAAACAAGTAAATATTNTACCCCACTCCCAAAAGCTTTCAGTATAACCATGTGTTTTTTCTCTTAGTGTTAGGCGTAAAGCGAACCAAAGTGACCAAGGCTCTTAAAACAAAGGCGAGAAGCCAGAAGCAAAGCGCTTCATTGAAGCTAAGTGAACAATAAAAAAAACAAGTAAATATTTTAGAGAAGCAGAGAATCAGAAAAACAGAAGCAGAATCAGAATCAGAATAAGAGATGTAGCAGCAGAAGCCATAAACATAAGCAGAATTAGAATCAGAGATGCAGCAACAGATGTCATAAACATAAGCAGAATTACAAAAAGAATCAGGATAAGCAGTACAGAAACAGAATAAGCAGATTAATATAAAATTAATCAGCATACACTGAAGCAACATAAATAGAGAAAAAGAATCTCAGCCAAAATAAAACAGTAACACAGAAACACAAACACAGAAGAAGAGCCAAAATAAAATAGAAGCAGAAGCAAAGAAGAAGAAGAATCAGAAGCAGAAGCATTGAAGAAGCAGAAGCAGAAATAGAACCCGTAGTAACACAGAGGAAGTAGAAGCAGAGAANAACATATTAATATAAAATTAATCAGCATACACTGAAGCAACATAAATAGAGAAAAATAATTTCAGCCAAAATAAAACAGTAACACAAACACAGAAGAAGAGCCAAAATAAAATAGAAGCAGAAGCAAAGAAGAAGAAGAATCAGAAGCAGAAGCAGAAATAGAACCCGTAGTAACACAGAGGAAGTAGAAGCAGAGAAGAAGAAGAAAAAGAAGAAGAAGAAGAACCAGAATTAGTAGCAAAAGAAGAGAAGAAGGAGAGAAGATGCAGAACCATAAGGAGCAGAATCAGAAGAAGGAAAGAAAATAACATACCTTGGTTTTGTCAAAGAAGAATACAAAAAGCAGCATAGAAGAAGTAGAAGTAGAAATAGGTACTGAGTTGTGTTTTCTGTCGAAGAAGAATTAGAAGAGAAGAAGAGAAGAAGAGAAGAGGAGAAGGAAAAAAAAAAGACAGAAGCGGCAGTAAAGATGAAGAAGAAAAAGAGTGGGAGCAAACCTGTCGGGAGTCGGGATTTCTTTAGGAAAGAGACGAGACTTCTTCAGGAGCTGCTGCAGTCTTGTTTAGGCAAATTTAGGGTTTGGGTGTTAAATATATTGGGATAAGGGGCAATCAGGTATATGAGCATCTCACAATTTTATTCCAATTGCCCAAATTCAACAGTCCATAATAAAAATAAAACAACTTTAAAAATTTTACAAAAACGTCGCTTTTCTTGCCTTTCGCTCAAGTGCAAGGTGCTCATTTTTCTCGCTTTTTCCTCACTTTAGTCACATGTGCTTCGNGGGCATCTCACAATTTTATTCCAATTGCCCCAATTCGACAGTCCATAATAAAAATAAAACAACTTTAAAAATTTTACAAAAACGTCGCTTTTCTTGCCTTTCGCTTAAGTGCAAGGTGCTCATTTTTCTCGCTTTTTCCTCACTTTAGTCACATGTGCTTCGCTTGTGGTGCTCAAGACGACAGACCCTTGCTTTGCTTCGCTTATCGCCTAGGCGAGCTTTTCAAAACACTCCCTCTCATTCCCATCCTATTCATCTTGCCTTCTATATAATCTGCCTGTGTGACATGCAGCTCCTTAGTTTACTCTCGTCGCTTGCAACCATTTGCTATAGTGCGTGCTTCATTTTCTATGTGATCAAGTTTCATGTAGAGTCCAAGTCTTTGCCTATCACTATATGCAANTCAAAACACTCCCTCTCATTCCCATCCTATTCATCTTCCCTTCTATATAATCTGCCTGTTTGACATGCAGCTCCTTAGTTTACTCTCGTCGCTTGCAACCATTTGCTATAGTGCGTGCTTCATCTTCTATGTGATCAAGTTTCATGTAGAGTCCAAGTCTTTGCCTATCACTATATGCAAGGATCAAAATTTTGTTTCGGTGTATTATTTCAGTCACCTAGAAAACAAAAACATTTTGATATATTTGAAAAACGTTTCGATTCATTTCGAAAATAGAATAAAAAAAAAAATTTAAGAATTATTTTTTCAAAACGTTGGTCGAAATATATCAAAAAGTATCTTGAAATATCCTGAAACATTCTGNCGTTTCGAAAATAGAATAAAAAAAATAAAATTTAAGAATTATTTTTCCAAAACGTTGGTCGAAATATATCAAAAAGTATCTTGAAATATCCTGAAACATTCTGAAACAATTGTGAAAATGCATTGAAACATTACAAAATACTTTGAAATATTATGAAATATCTCAAAGTATTAAAATTGAAATTCCATCACTGATTTGTTTCAGTTTCATTGGAAATGGAAACGTTTCGGATGTTTTGACTTTTTCAAAATGAAATTTTGATCCTTGGCTATATGTAAAGATACTTGTTCTTAACTAACTATCTTTTCAATTACTTCATTTCCTAAGAGAGTTTATGATTTTTTTACTTGATCTAGAATGGAGGAAAGCAATAGAAGCCAATATGGATTCCTTTTATAATATTAGCTCTTTAAGTCTTATTTCCTTACTTCGTAGTGAGAAGATTGTTGGGTGTTGGTGGGTGTGTATAGTAAAATTCAATCCTCATGGTTCTATGGGTCATTCAAAACCATCCTAGAGGCTAAGGGTTACATAGAAAACTACAATTTTGATTATGAGAAGACTTTCTCTCTTGTTGCCAAGATTCCCATCATTTGCATTCTAATTTCTTTGGCAGTTGGATGTCAAAAATACCTTCTTAGACGACAACTTATTAAACGAGGTCTATATGGTACAACAACCCAGGTTTACTGCTCATAGGTAATATGATGCAATTGTTGGGTGAAAAAATGTCGTGCATAGTTTCAAATAGTTGTCAAGAATGTAGTTTAGAGAGATTTTGGAGGTATTACTATATTGGGGGCCCCATAGGGGGCTAGACAAATCATTCAGCTTTTCACCAATTTATGGATTTGAGTTCCATTATTCTGTTGTAGAAGTAGACGGTATTGTGGTCATCAGAAGCGACTCTTGCACATTGCTAAGTTGAGTCAAATTTTGCAGGATTAATTTCATATCCATGATTTGGGCGGGCTTAGATGCTTCTTTAGTATTGAAGTTGCTAAATCAAAGATGGGTATTAAATTACCGCAAATGAACATGTTCTTGATTTGTTAGACGAGCTATTTTTTTGGGTTGCTACCTAGTTGATACTCCTATGGATCCTAATGACAAACTTATGGTAGATATAAGAGAGTTGTTTGAAGATCTTGAGGTATCTTCGTCTGGTTGAACAATTAAGTTAACTTGCTACTTGACTTGATAGTTTATATGCAGTTTTGTGGAGAATCAGTTTATTCCTTAGGTACCACATTACGATGCTGCTATTTGTATTATCCAATATTTTAAGCAAGTTTCTAGATTTGGGTGATTGTATTGGTCAAATGGGCATATTGTGGTGGAAGGTTTTATAGATGCTAATTGGACTAGTTCTCAGTCATATAGAAGATCTACTGCAGATTCCTGTATTTTCTTTGGAGGTAACTTGGGTACGTGGAAAAACAAAAACAAAATGTGGTACTCTCGAATATGGACACGGATACGGACACGAACAAGGGACATGGGACACGGATACGACATGACACGAATATGCTGACACGTCATTTTTAAAAAAGTGTAGGACATGAACACATTGGGGACACTATAAATGATTGTGTTTTACATGTAAAATTATATAATTCATCACAAATATAGTGATAATGATAAATTATTCATAAAAAAATAGTATTGTATGATAAGTAAATATTATGTTTAGTNGAACAACGGACATGGGACACGGGATGCGGATACGACATGACACGAATATGCTGACACGTCATTTTTAAAAAAGTGTAGGACATGAACACATTGGGGACACTATAAATGATTGTGTTTTACATGTAAAATTATATAATTCATCACAAATATAGTGATAATGATAAATTATTCATAAAAAAATAGTATTGTATGATAAGTAAATATTATGTTTAGTCATCTAGTATGAATTTTTAGATTAACATCAAAATAATCAGTAATTATCAATTTTTTCATATATATATATTTAAATGATTGCTCTCATTTTCTCAATTGCTCTTTTTAAAATCTTTTATATATCTATTGCTTTTGTTATTATATTTTTAGTACACCATTAACATGTCTAGCCTTGGTAATTATATGTTCGCTTATAGTATAAGATACTTAATNATATTAACATCAAAATAATCAGTAATTATCAATTTTTTCATATATATATATTTAAATGATTGCTTTCATTTTCTCAATTGCTCTTTTTAAAATCTTTTATATATCTATTGCTTTTGTTATTATATTTTTAGTACACCATTAACATGTCTAGCCTTGGTAATTATATGTTCGCTTATAGTATAAGATACTTAATAGTTAAATTTTTAAGCTTTCTTAATTACATGTCAACATCTGTTTATTGTTTAGTAGTAGACATGATCTAAAGAAATGTCACTAAAGAAGTGTTGGATATGTGTCTGAAATTAACATTTTATCATTTAATTATGGATACGGATAAAAGAGTATCGGACACGTCTTCGAGTANGATCTAAAGAAATGTCACTAAAGAAGTGTTGGATATGTGTCTGAAATTAAAATTTTATCATTTAATTATGGATACGGATAAAAGAGTATCGGACACGTCTTCGAGTAGTGTTGGTGTCCTACATGTATACGTTATCTTTTTGAGAGTGTCCATACTTTAGAGGTGACAATATAGGACTTCCCCCCCCCCCCCAAAAAAAAAAAAAAAAAAAAAAATTTTACTTCATAGCTGCTCTTCAAAATTTTAAACTGCCTTTCGTTATGCTTTTCTTTTGGCTTTTGTAGCGTCCATCCATGGTTATCAATCAATTTGTTTGAAGTTATGGATATATGTTTTTCTCTTAACTTCTCATTTGTTACATTTCTTTGTTGGTTAAGCTTGAAGTTGTTCGTGAACTAGTAGCTGAAAATGTGGAGAATGGTCATCGATTGGAGGCTCTCATATATTCAGCCATCTATCTGAAGGTTTTCTGATTAATGTTGTTTCTGCTTAAGCTGCTTCATTGGGCATTCTACTCCATGCTTTTATTAAATTCTATTTCACCTGCAGTGGATAAACACGGGGCAAATTCCTTGCTTTGAAGATGGAGGTCATCACCGGCCAAACAGGCATGCTGAGATTTCCAGACTCATATTTCGCGAATTGGAAAGAATTTCCTGTAGGAAAGACACTTCACCCCAGGTTGTCTGTCATATGGATTGATGTGCATTTTATTTTGGTGCCTTTAGGTTCTTGTGGTTTATTGTATAACTGTTCCTCATGTTCTTTTTCAATTTTTGTGTCTCTCAAAATTCTCTTGTTCATTTTTCTAAAGACTTATTTCTATCCTCAATACTACTAGTTAAACACAGAAATTGAGTCAATTTTGTGTTTTAGTGGGTACTGAAACGATTGTCCATTCTTTATTCTTCCTCAATACTTGGCACAGAATGCATTCAATCAGACACCCAAGTTGTTCTCTTCCTCTCTTTTTATATACTGGTCACTGAAAGAGAATTAGGTTCCTCAGAATGCGACTCTGATAACCTTCAATTCTAGAAACACAGCAATCCTACTTGTAAGGAACCTTTTTAGCAAATTATCCATTGCATTTTGTAAAGAGGCCCAGTTTCGGATAGCACTCTGATGATGATAAGGTTTAGCCATGTAGCAGGTATTCTTGTAAAGAACAAAAAATGTTATGTATGATAGTGAGTCAATAGTTGTTTTCTCAGCATTAGAGCATCAGATAATAATAATTTTGAAACCCAATATTCATAAACAACCGATTAGACTGTGATTGAATAAAAATCTTACATGATATTCGATTCAATGAGAAATTACAATGACTAAAAAACCTACGCATGGACACATAAATGCTACATGTTTACAGAATTTTAATTGATGCCAAATGATAGGGATATGATGACTGTAGAACTAATTGCATTGATAAGAGGTAGAAATAGAGCAACAGTTGCCTTAGGAAATAAAGAACGACACAAAATGGCTCAGGAACAGAAGACTAGGTCCCCTGATGAGAAGGAACTTACCTGTGGGCTGCAGTCCCTAGTTGCTTGATAATGCAAGTACCCTATTCATCTGCGGTTTGGTTGTAAGTCCTATACAACTGTAACATTAGGGATCCAAAATTTTGTTTCTTCCATTGGGCATCTTTCCATGTGGTTAGGCGTTGATACTAGTGGTTAAAAACCTTATAAAATTAGAGGGATTTTGGAAATCAATTTAAGGAAAGGGCCTTCACAAATGTATAGCTAGGTAAGCTTCAAACATCTAGTTAGGTGGATGACATTATTATTCTCTGGCATAGTTTCGAAAGTTTGACTACTTTTCATTTAAGTACAATAGATTCCAATGTCTACTAAAGTAACAAGAAGCGCGTCCCTTAGAACTACTTTAATGCACTGCAATGAAACCATTATAAGATTCCGCGCATACCATGCTGCAATTCATGGCTTGGGGCCTACTAGGTTCTTATTCTAGTTCCGGGGGCAAACATAATAGGTATTTTATTTGCTGGAAAAAGAAGAAAGTCTTTATTCCAGGAAACAACACATTATGTGGTCAAATTATGAAGTCCAGATGAAAGTGTAAAAAGAGTTTGTTTCTCATTGTGAATGATTAGGACCACCCAAGGTTTAGTTTATATGGTTAAATATTCATTGCTGAATGGTTTTGGGTTAGATGTTCTACCGTAGTATTAGAACTTGGTCTTGGGTGGTTAGTTATTCAAGCCTCTTACCTGTTTGAGTTTCGCAGTATGCATCAAGGAACTAAATTCCGTTTCAAAACGTCCGATTTTGTTTCCATGAAACTGAAACGAATCATTGATTGAATATTCGTATTCCTATTTTTTGAGGTGTTTCGGTATGTTTTGATCTATTTCGAAATGTTTTGACTAATGTTTTGAAAATAAATTTTCAAATTTTTCTTTATTTCCTTCTTGTTTCTGAAACNATTCCGTTTCAAAACGTCCGATTTTGTTTCCATGAAACTGAAACGAATCATTGATTGAATATTCGTATTCCTATTTTTGGAGGTGTTTCGGTATGTTTTGATCTATTTCGAAATGTTTTGAAAATAAATTTTCAAATTTTTCTTTATTTCCTTCTTGTTTCTGAAACTTTTCCGTTTTCAAGCTCACCGAAATTGTGCATCGAAACAAAATTTTGATACTTGGTATGCATTTTGTTTGTGTATTTTGTAAACCTCACGTGCAAGCCCGGGTCCAATGTTTTTTTTTTTTTTTTGGGGGGGGGGGACAAAGAGGGATTATAGCACATCGAATAGTTTGGATCACCGAAGGTTGGTTCATATGGTTAAATGGGTTATCCATTTATTGACATTTGATGTGGGATTGGACGCTCTAACAGAGAGCTACGCCAAAGTTTTCTATGTTTGTTTTACCTAATTATGATTTATGAGTTACCTTCTAGTAATACCTCAGCTTAAGTGGACATGCCTTAATTCACCTACTTGGGGTCAGCTCATCTCAGGGATGTGACTACATGGACAATAATTTCCAAATTGTTGGAGTAATGAAACCCTCTACCCTGTGCCAAAAGCACCAACACCTGAAAAACCAGTAAGGAGAATTTCTGAATTGGGATGTTACTCTTATTCGTGTTCCTCTTCTTGTTTTACCAGATTCGACCTACCATATGATGGTGTTCTCCTCCCAAGTATTACCCTCTACGCATACATGTTCTTTTTAGTACCTATCGTTTTTACATATTTCCTCAGAGCTGAAATTTTTAAGAGTAATTTAATTGTTGTTTCTACTTTTTAACATGCAGGAAATACTTGTCATCCTCAAGATTCATCCATGTTTGCCGTCTTTTAAGGCAGAATTTACTGCATCTGTTCCACTAACACGTATTAGGGATATTGCTCACCGGAATGATATTCCTCATGACCTTAAGGTTACAGTTGGAGCACTTTATAGTATGATTTTGATTTCATCAAAGTGGTTATGCTATTTATATGTCAATGTCTTACATTCCAGCAAGAAATCAAGCATACCATACAGAACAAGCTTCACCGCAATGCTGGCCCTGAAGATCTAGTTGCTACCGAAGCAATGCTTGCAAGAATCAGCAAGAATCCTGGGGCTTATAGTGAAGCATTTGTAGAACAGTTCAAGATATTCCATAGTGAACTCAAAGATTTCTTCAATGCTGGAAGGTTTGCTGAGTGTCATTCTAAACCTTTGATCAACTTGAATCCAAAGTGTGCATTACTATTGCAGTGTTAGTTGTTATTCTGGCCTCTCTCTCTCTCTCTCTCCCTGTCTGTCAATGACGATAGTCCTTTGCTATAAACTTTGGTAGTTTAACAAAGTAACTCCACTGACCCCAGTACCAAAGTTTAACCAAGTTACTCCAGTTTTATGTCTGTTAACACTAAGATTATAGTGCTGCTTGGCATACAAGGCATAACTTTTACTGAATCCTGACTCGACTATGGGATGTCTGCTTCAGAAAAGCTGTCTCATTGTTCCATTTTTCCTGAGATATGGCCTGTGCTAGGCTCCCTTCTAACGACTATGGGATGTCCGCTTAAGGAAAGCTGTCTCATTGTTCCATTTTTCCTGAGATATGGCCTGTGCTAGGCTCCCTTCTAACGATTTGATCATCTTTGTTAAGTTAAGAGAATTAATATAACACAATATTAGAGGCAATATTAGGGAGAAAGAGAGAGGTTAGAAAACTTAACCTAGCTCTCATACATAACTTGTATTTATAGTTAACTTACAATAATAATAATAACACATACATCCCTTTTACTATTAACAATTTACACATACTACAACTCTATTATTCTTAACACTCCCCTTCAAATTGGACTATATATATCATATAATCCAAACTTGGAACAAATAGTTGTAAGACGCGTACGACTCAATGCTTTGGTAAACATATCTGCAAGCTGATCTTCAGATTTCACAAATGGAGTTGTAATCTCCCCGGCTACTATCTTGTCCCGAATAAAGTGACAGTCAACCTCAATATGCTTAGTTCTTTCATGAAACACAGGATTGACAGCGATATGGATAGCTGCCTGGTTGTCACAGAACAACTGTAAAGGAAGTTGAATTGAAAAACCAATTTTCTGGAGGAAGTGTAGTAGCCAAGTCAACTCACTTATCGTATGTGCCATTGCCCTATACTCAGCCTCAGCACTGGATCTTGCTACCACGAGTTGTTTCTTACTTTTCCATGAGACAATATTACCTCCTAAGAAAGTACAATAACCAGTGGTTGATCTCTGATCAGAAGGAGATCTAGCCCAATCAGCATCTGAGAAACCTTCCACTCTAAGATGTCCATTAGCTCGATATAACAGTTCAAGTCCTGGAGTTCGTTTGAGATATCGCAGAATACAAGTAACTGCCTCCCAATGTGGTACTCTAGGACATCCCATGAACTGANCAAGTAACTGCCTCTCAATGTGGTACTCTAGGACATCCCATGAACTGACTTACTATACTGATTGCATAGGAAATATCTGGTCGAGTAATAGTGAGATAATTAAGCTTCCCAACCAATCTGCGATATCGACCCGGATTTTCAAATAATACACCATCATCCATCAATAATTTCTGATTCGGATCCATAGGGACATCAATCGGTCTACCACCCAGCAAACCTGCTTCTTCGAGCATGTCAAGTATATATTTTCTCTGAGATAANCATACTCAGCCTCAGCACTGGATCTTGTTATCACGGGTTGTTTCTTACTTTTCCATGAGACAATATTACCTCCTAGGAAAGTACAATAACCAGTGGTTGATCTCTGATCAGAAGGAGATCTAGCCCAATCAGCATCTGAGAAACCTTCCACTCTAAGATGTCCATTAGCTCGATATAACAGTTCAAGTCCTGGAGTTCGTTTGAGATATCGCAGAATACGAGTAACTGCCTCCCAATGTGGTACTCTAGGACATCCCATGAACTGACTTACTATACTGACTACATAGGAAATATCTGGTCGAGTAATAGTGAGATAATTAAGCTTCCCAACCAATCTGCGATACCGACCCGGATTTTCAAATAATACACCATCATCCATCAATAATTTCTGATTCGGATCCATAGGGACATCAATCGGTCTACCACCCAGCAAACCTACTTTTTCGAGCATGTCAAGTATATATTTTCTCTGAGATAAATAAATACCCTGTTTAGATCGAGCCACCTCAATACTCAAGAAATACCTAAGTTTTTCCAAATCTTTAGTATGAAATTGATCCGGTAAAAATAATTTTAACTTGGCAATCCCCTCAGAATCATTTTCAGTAATCACAATATCATCGATATAGACCACCAATAGGACATACCAAGCATTTGTCTGCCTATGAAATACAGAATGATCTGTTTGACATCGAAGAAGATCAAACTCTAAAATTGCATCTGAAAACTTACCAAACCATGCCCTCGGTGACTGCTTTAAACCATACAAAGATTTTTTTAACCGACAAACGCTCTTACCAGACTCCCTCTGAGCAGTAAACTCAAGTGGCTGCTCCATATAGACCTCTTCNTACTTTTTCGAGCATGTCAAGTATATATTTTCTCTGAGATAAATAAATACCCTGTTTAGATCGAACCACCTCAATACCCAAGAAATACCTAAGTTTTTCCAAATCCTTAGTATGAAATTGATCCGGTAAAAATAATTTTAACTTGGCAATCCCCTCAGAATCATTTTCAGTAATCACAATATCATCGATATAGACCACCAATAGGACATACCAAGCATTTGTCTGCCTATGAAATACAGAATGATCTGTTTGACATCGAAGAAGATCAAACTCTAAAATTGCATCTGAAAACTTACCAAACCATGCCCTCGGTGACTGCTTTAAACCATACAAAGATTTTTTTAAC